GCGGACAACAACATCGTCATCATGCTGGTGGGCAACAAGAGCGACCTGCGCCACCTGAGGGCGGTGCCCACTGACGAAGCTCGAGCGTTCGCAGGTAGGCACGTCCCTGGCACACTGGGAGCTATGGGAGGGATCCTGGGACAGACTGGAGGCAGGGTGTCTGTCCTGAGCTCTGTGTGGAAGGTGCGAGTGGCGAATGACCCCGGAGTGTCGGTTCTCAGAACTCATGAGCTCCTGAACGAGGCCAGGCCGCATGGTGGCGCCTCTCTTCTGAAGATGAATTAATTGGCGGGGGGCTCTTCGCAGTGCTGCAGGGCACTCCTGCATTTTACTTCCCCGTCTCTCAAAGACTTAATGGCTTCTGTCCTTTTCTTGTCCACAGAGAAGAATAACTTATCATTTATTGAAACATCTGCCTTGGACTCAACCAACGTAGAAGAGGCTTTCAAAAACATCCTCACAGGTGAGAGCTGTCCCGTAAAAGAAGCAGCATGCTCGCTGTCTGCTGTTCTCTTACAGCACATTCGGGGAGGAACTGCATGAATTCAGGAGCTGTAGTCTGTTTCATGTTTAGAACTAATAAATATTGAGTTTGAGGTGGAGCGTGTGCTGGATCGTCTGTTAGTCATTCAGTCTTCAAGAGCTTTTCCTGGTCTAGACACAAATGTTATAGGGAATCACACTTGACCTGTCCAGTAGTGTCCGTCTCTCCCAGGATTTCTGAATTGTTGATGTCCAGGTGGAAGAACTGTGTGCTGGCCTGGAGGAGTATAATTCTCCTTTCTAGTGACTGTTCCCCTTTCTCCCCCGCAGAGATTTACCGGATTGTATCACAGAAGCAGATCGCTGACCGGTCGGCACATGACGAGTCTCCAGGCAACAATGTGGTGGACATCAGTGTGCCCCCCACCACTGACGGGCAGAGACCCAGCAAACTGCAGTGCTGCCAGAACCTGTGACCTCCGATCTCTGCGGGACCCCCCCTCCCCATCCCACTTTCTCCAGCCTTCGTCTCCGCTTTTGGCCCCCGAGTGTCGTGCAGCTGCTGTCCCGTATTCCCTGTGATTTCCGTGGATCTCCTTCATCTCTCAAAGCTGTAACTTTAATGCTAACATTCCTTTTTGTCGTCTTTTCCTTATTTTTCACTTTCCTTTTTTCTCCCCTCCCCATTATTCCTCGAGCCTCTGAATTTCCCCCTTTTACTGTAACAAGATTATTCAGTCCAGGGAAATTCTGCACTGATCACGTGACCCACTCCTGGTGAAGGGATGGTGAGGGATCAGTCTTGTCAGGTGCTGCCTCTCTTGAAGTCAGTTCCTCGGGTTCCCTGTTCCAAGCAGGGCATGAAATGAGCAAGTGTAGCAGGAATCTCAATGGAATCTTTCCATAAATTTACCTGTACAAAGGTCTTTCAAAAGATGCTTTCAAGTGGATCATGTAATAAGGTTGTGACGGCACCAGAAAGGAGGCAGGAGTTTAGCTTTACTGGCAGCCTTAATTGTGAGGACCAAGTTACCAGAGCAGTACAGTTATGTACTGTTTGCCAGTGGTGCACTGGTAATACTGGGTGTGATCATGACATTTAAGTACACTGTCCTCAAGTCTAGCAGTCTTCACCAGTGCTCCTGAGAATTTGTGAATGTGCTTTTTAAATGTTTTCTCCTGCACTGTATGGCGGATTGTTTCGCCAATCAAACTTCGTAATAAAGTCAATAAAGTTAATTATATACCGCAGCAATGCATCTGGTATCGTACGAAATGTATTTTAAAAAGCAGCTTTTGTGAAGAGGAGCTTTTTGCAAGTTCTGTTCTGTATTTGGAGAACAGAGATGGTGAACCTAATGGCAAGATATCTGGGTTGGCTTAAGCTTCATTGGTTGCAAAATTACCTGGATTGAATCCTGCTGATGGTTAGTTAGTCAACTCTGGTTGCCTTTCTTGTCACTTGAAAGGTGTTTTAATTGCATTTCATAAAATACCATAAAACGTTCCTTCGAAGTGAGAAGAAAAGGCCTTACAGCAGCCTTCAGTTATACTCCCCCTTTCGGCTCATTAAACCTGGTAATACCAGGACGTTTCATATCATCTTCTTAACTATCTTGTCTACTAGCATTGTCTGTCTTGGTTACAGCTGATTTTCTGCTCAAGAAACAAGTAGACAAAATACACTAAAAACAATTTGCTCCATGTGACAACCCAGATGTTTACATAATGACTTAATCCTCTCTGAAGCCCTGTGGCTTTGCATCGGACAATGCAAAATTTCACGCTCTGTAACGCTTGCATTAACAACGGCTCACAGCGATAGACTGTATCTTCCTATCGATGGCCTTTGATCAGTGGACAATGGGGGTGACTGGTTGACCCTTTCAGTTTTTGCATGTCAGTGCTCTTACTTTATTCCTTGTAAAGTATAATCTTAGACATGTTAGAGATTTAATATAGAAGCAATACCCATCATGTATATAACCTCAAATCTTCTGACTATTTACAGCTTTGTAAACAAATGGCATTGTTTCTCTTGTCCTTGAGGGTCTGACTTTTGTCATGTTTTCCCAAAGTGACGACTAGTGGCATTGCAACCACTGTTCCAGGCTTCCATGGTCTTGGTGTTGCCTTAGAAAAAGCCACAAGTGTTTTTATTTAAAACAGTTTTTTTAAATAGAACATAAAAGAAGACCTGAAAATGTAATGTGACTTATAGGAGAAGCTATGTTCATATGCAACACAAACTGACTTCTTCAGACATTCTACGCTTTTTGGGGTGTTAAAGTAGTTAAAACATTAAACCATTTAGAAAGCAAGTCTAAACTGAGTGTCTGTGGATTCAAATCTTGTATTTACAGCATATCGTAATGAACAGTTTAGTTGAGCACCACCACAATTTTTTAATGAATTTTCTTTTCAATCAATCACGTTCCTTGTATTTATACCTGGCATCTTCGACCTAGTGCTTAAATAATGGTATCGCGATACTAAATGAAGTCTGAAGTGCATTTGAAGATCTAGATTTGAAATTCTCATCTATAACACTGGAAAGTGAGTCATGACAGTTTTTATGTTTGCTAGATTTCATTCACTCCCTTTATCTGCAGTTGTTTATGTATTTCTGTTAAGTGCAATCCACTATGTAAATATATATGCGTCACTTAATTTCTGCATGGATAATATGTATGGTGCATAAATATGTTGCCAAACCTAAGTAAAGATACTGTGTCGGTGTGTTTATTTACTCCCTCTACTTGCATGCACATTTAACGTAATGATTCAGCTGTGTGAAAACCCTCTAGTCCTGCATCACCTCCTCAGTCCTCAGTCCTGTGGTGGCTCTGTGGCTCAGGATCTGCACCTGTGGCTGGAAGGTTGCTGGTTCATATCCCGCGGCCGGCAGAGGAATCCTACTCCGTTGGGCCCCTGAGCAAGGCCCTTAACCCCAGCTGCTCCAGGGGCGTCGTATAAATGGCTGACCCTGCACTCTGACCCCCAGCTTCTCTCCCTGTCTGTGTGTCTCATGGAGAGCAAGTTGGGGTATGCGAATAGACAAATTTGTAATAGAAGAAATTGTATAGGGCCAATAAAGTGAACTTTACCTCCCAGTGGTTCCCACAGTATTTTAAGAAGTGCTTCCACCACGTGTTTAGGTTCAGGATTCTATCCATCTGTTTTCTAACTGCTCTTTCCAGTCCAGGGTTACAGGGAAGCTGGAGCCTTCCAGACAAGCTGGGGTTCACCCTGGACAGGACACCAGCCCATCACGGGGCACACTCATACCGGGGTCAGTTTCCCCAGAATCCCATGAACCTACCATCATGTCCTCGGACTGCGGGAGGAACCCCATGTGGACATAGGGAGAATATACAAACTTCATGAAGATGGCACCCCAAGGCTGGAATTGTGGGTTCAGTTCTGGAGTTGGGGTGCCATCCTGGGCCCCAGCACTGCCAGGTAGAAACCACTGTGCCACCATGCAGCCTGCTCTGTTGCACAGTAATCCAGATTTATCTTAAATGTGCATCCTGCTCCAAAGATGCACAGCCAGATGATGACATACAGGTATTCCACGGTGATGATGTTTACCGTGTCAGAGACGTACAGAGACCTTCTGCATTCATACCAGCGTAGCCGAGCTCGAAATAACCTTTCGTTGTGTCTTAAATATGCAGTGCTCAAATTTCGCTTGGGCTGGACACCTTTTTCTTCCAAAACCAGCTTGCCGTGTGTCCACTGGGCAAAAATTAGTTTCCCGTCCCTCCTTGCATTTGAGGATGTGGCTTAAAATGAAGTGTTAATTACACTTCCCGTTAATCACAGTAAAGAGTCGTATTTTCCCTTTTTCCGTGCAAGCTATTAACAAATTAACTTTGTTGACAAAAGCATACCGGCACATATTTTAAATCGGCGCTCGTCCTCCGGAGGCGCAGTTTAGCAAGTTAATAGCACGGCCACACTGTCTTTTAAACAGATGGCAACAATCTTACCAAATGGACATTTTAATGCCTAGTATGAAAGACGGAAAATCGGCTCAAAGTGTTCCCGTTTGCTCGGGACAAAGGTTTCGCCTACTGCCATTTGATTGGTCAAGGGTAACGTCAATTTCGATTTCTTGATTACTGATTGGCTACTCCGTCATAGACCGCTCGCAGGGGGACTCCGTCGGATACGCCAAATACTGGGATTCTCCAACGCGGTTACGAACAATGTGATGTCCACCCTCTGTGTGAAGGGTGGTAAATTGCGGCAACAGCGTAGGCCGCTTGATGGTTGCAAACGGCAGGAGAAGGCTGTTGTCGTCTGAAACGATAAGAAGAATAAAAGCGTCAAGGCAGGCGGAACGGCGAGAGTTACTCAATTTCCAGCCACCAGTGGATTTCGAAAGACTCATGTCGTGTGCCCCTGCCTTTGATATCGCGGTAGATGACGTCGGCGAAAGATGAAAAGGGGGAAAAGCGGTGAGCTATCAATTTTAGATGTGTTTCCTGGAGCATATGATTCGCGTAGCGACAGATATGTGTGCCTGTTAAGATCGGCGCAGGGTCACGCACGCCAGCCCTGCGCTAAAATGTTTCCCCGAAACAGCTGAAAAGGCTGAGCCAGCATTGCCAACATCAATACTGAACCACACGGCCCGTGGGGACGATTTCGGGGTGGGTGGGCTGTAGGGGGTGACAGGCGTCCGTCACAACCATCGAGCTGACTCTGGTGCCTGGACGCACATTCACGTCCACTTTGACCTTTAAGTAGCACTGCGTTGAACCGATGTCACCCCCCCGAATGAGGTGGACCGGGACGAGTCGTGTCTGGGGCAGAGACGCCTGTGGTGTTCAAACAGGCCGCCATGGGCTCTGTAATGTGTCTCTGTGTTGGCGTGAGGCAGGCACTGTTACAGCTGTTTCTGCTACCGTTTGCTCCATTCGGCTTCACTGTAGTGAAACAATGAAATATTGCGCGACTCTGCGCTAAACGTGGGGCTTTTGCAATACAGAAGCGTGCAAAGCAAAGCAACAAGAGACGCCATCGGCGGGATAATATTTGATTAACACTGGAGTTCGCCGCTCTGCTGAATAGTCGGGAGCAGAAAATGCCGAAGCAGTGGGTTGGTATCAATCACATGTTCTTCCACCACAAAGCGCCTTAAATCGTGAGGGGTTTTTGCGTTGGCTCCTGTTTTCGGCACGGGAGGTTTTGTTTCCTTTACTGATGTGGGGTCGATGTGTGGCGTTAGCGCTGTTCTTGGGTCCTGGGTTCATTTCTGTTCTGGGTTCTGGGTTCGGATCTGTTCTGTGATCCAGTTCTCTCCTAATTTCCAAAGACTTGCTGGCCCCTTTCTTTGAAAGGTGGAAATCATTACAACTCCCAAATAAGGAGCATCCCCGTATGAAAATAAGCTAGTTTATCTGCAGGAATGTCCCATTCTCTACAGCTGTGGCTCTGAATACTGGTCCTGGGTGACTGCTTTGTCTTCTGGTTTTTGTTTCAAGTGAACTGACACTAGCTGATGTCTTTAATTGATCTGCTTACTGGTGAAGCCTCTTGTCTACCCATGTCACCCCTCCCTGTGTCCTACGCTACGCAAATCGGTTTTTAAAAAAATATTCTACTTCAACATACCGAGCGTGTGTTCTCTCCTCAACTTGAGCAGTCTGTTTCTGGGTAGACGGCTCTCGGTGGATGATCAGTTTATTCTGAACTGACGCTGGTGGGAGTGATGGGGCTCTCAGACACTCTCGCAGTGAGTTCCAGCTGTGTTCCAACATGTTTGAAGTAACTTCATTTCAGTTCAGTTAAGTTTATTGTCATACGCACAAGTGCAATGAAATGTGTATTTGCATGTCTGCTCCAATACAGAGAACACATTAAGGGAACACCAAAAACGAACACAGACCAGCAGCAGCAGCAACAAGAAGTTAAATTAACATACATCTTAGAAGAAAACACATCAGTGTGAGCCAGTGGTAGTAATAATAATAATAATAATAATAATAATAATAAACTTTATTTTATATAGCGCCTTTAAAGGTGGCTTCTCAAAGCGCTTTACAGGATGACAATAACAATAAATAAGAAGACTACAACAATAAATAAGAAGATTTCACAAGATAGGACACAATTATAATTACAACAATAACAATAGAGGAGACCGTGGAAGGTGGTATTAAGAAGAGCAGAGGGGTGAAGAGTGGAACCAGTTAAGTAAAGGCTTTTCTGAAGAAGAAGGTTTTGAGTCTGGATTTGAAGGAGTTTAGAGAAGGTGACTCTCTAATATCCTTGGGCAAAGAGTTCCAGAGCTTGGGGGCATAACAGGAGAAGGCCCTGTCGCCCATACAATGTAGACGGGCTTGGGGGACAGTAAGGAGGGCAGAATTTGAAGAGCGGAGATTGCGAGGTGGGGAGTAGGGCGATAAAAGTTCAGACAGGTATTGAGGTGCCAAGCCATGTAAAGCCTTATAGGTGAGCATGAGGATTTTAAAGTCTACGCAGAATTTGACCGGAAGCCAGTGCAAGGACTCCAGGATAGAAGTAATGTGAACACTTGCACTAGACCTGGTCAGGATTCTGGCTGCTGAATTTTGGACATACTGCGGTGTAGTTCAGTAATCTGACAGCTTGTGGGAAGAAACTCTCTCTGAACCTGGACGTACGTGCCTTTATGCTCCTATAATGCTCCATTTGTATGGAGCTTGCATGTTCTCGCCTTGTTTGTGTGGGTTTCCTCCCACAGCCAGAATTCAAGCTGGTAGGTTAATTGGCTTCTGGGACAATTGGATGTGTCTGTGTCTGTGTGTGTCATGCGATGGGCTGGCGTCCTGTCCAGGGTGTATCCTGCCTTGCACCCGCTGCTTGCTGGGATACACTCTGGCTACTTCAGGATCCTGAGCTGGATAAGGCAGTCAGAAAATGGTTGGACCTGGATCCAGAAAAGGCTCTGGTCTGTGTGTGTTTTTTTTTCCATTGAGCAAAGTAGAATCCCCTCTTTCCTCTTCCTGTCTCTCCTGCAGCTACAGTGAAGAATTGGTTTTGGCAGAATTTCAGGGAAGGGATAGTCAATTACACCCCCCACTTCCTCCACTCCCCCCCCCCAGAGTTTGTGAAAACCAACTCAGACAGTTTTTATTTCTCGAACTGCTTATGGTTTTGTTCGACGCTGAGAAGGCTGACTATGTCTCCTGGTCTCGTGGAATGAAATAAAGATTGAAACGCTAATCAGCACAGATAAGCCCGGTGTCTTCTTGTGAGATCTCAGAGCAGCTCAGTCATTTGTTTCTGTTTTACTGCACAAGCACGCAGACTTCCTGATAGTCCTGCTGTGTCTGCTCGGACACCGATAGAGCTCTCAAAATGAGATAAAAACCAGGGTTGAACTAAACAAGAGAGGGGGCCCAACGGTCTCTTATTGTTTGCCTGCCTATATTTATACCCCGGACTCAACTGCATGGCTCGGGTGATCCTGTTTACCACTTCTTTTACTTGACAGTTGTAACGCAATCATGTCTCTTACTTTAGTTTTGGAGGAAAAGAAACCCATACAAATCCGCATAACCACCTTCTGTGGCGTGGGGAGAGTTGCATGTAAAAGTGGAGCTGTGGTATTGTTAAATCCATTGCTTTTGTTATACCGGCTCGGCCTTTTGTGTTAAAAAATGCCTGGCAGTTCGTATACATATTTGTGATCCAAGTGTTCCTTCGTAACTATCATTAATGACTCAGAA